TAGGAACAATCCATCTAAACAGTGCCCCCAACAATGGTGGGTTCCTGCTGGTTTGGACTGGTTTGGCTGAACCGGTAGTGGTTTGGCAGCCTGGGTAGCTGGAACCACAGCAACTCAGGCCTGCCATGCCCCCGAACTGGTTCTCTGCACGTAGCCACAAGCAAACTGGCAGTAGTGACTGCCGGAACTCACCCCTGGCCCCCAACCCTTGTAGATATCCAGAAGTAGTTGAGTACTAGTTATTAAACACTGCTAAGAGGTCAATAGGACCAAGGTGGGCATATTCCCCAATATAGTTCATGACAAAGGTAATACAAGAACAACACATGCTAATTCTGTCTTATGAATAACATTAAATCCCATCTGAAAATGACCTACACAATTCATTACCTCTAGAATTCTCTCTAGTTGATTTCTCAGTAAGAGAAGGTTGGACTTTCCAATAGAGAAGGCTGAGGTCTGCACAAAAGTGATCAAACGTGGATGGATCCAGAGAGTGCCTTATCTCCTGGCATTGATCAAGCCTACCTAATTCAGTATTTCCATTTCTCATTCTGAAGAACAAGTGTAGGCCTCAACCTTCCAACAACTTATAGCCATAAAAAATAAGCAAAAATTGATCTACTGAGCAGAGTCTTAAGTCACAGCTATAAATTCTGCTCTGTTTGGTTAAGGATCATTTATTCTGCCTGAAATAAAGTGTTGCCTAGTATATTTTTGTCTTTTTCGTGATAGTCAAAAGTGGTGCTTCAAAGGGCAACTTTTCATAAAGAGATGATGCCATCTATTGGCTAGCCGTGATATTACAATTCGGGCGAAAAGACGAACAGCAGTGGAGAGCGCCTGAAAAATTCACCTTTGGCACAGATAATATATAATTCACACATCAGTTAAACCATGGTTTATGTAAACACTACAGTGTAGTGTCACCCAAATGTAGTTTATGAAACCAGATGGCTGTATTCATACAGCACGCTGACTCCAAAGAAAGCACACTCTGTATCAGTAATCACATACCTTTAATTTATCTATTTATTAAATTTACGTGCCACCCATCTCGTGGTTCCAGAAAATAATATATTAGTAATGGAATCAAGCCTGTTTGGTTATGAGCGCGTTTGATTGGAAGTCACTTTCAAATTCATTTATACTCGGGCTGGGATCTGCTTCTAAAACTTAATAAAATTGCAAGAATAATGGCTTGTCTAAGGTCAGGCTCTGATCGGTCTTTAGTTTCCCCATAAAATCAAGAAAAACCCGTTCAAAATTTGACATTTTTTCTAACAGCATCTTCCTGGGATGCCGTACGAGGGGTTACCGTAATTCATATTCTCCGAAGAGCAACTGGAGAGAAAGGACTTGCCCTCCTGAATCTCTATGGGGTTCCTGTAGAGATCTATCGACCTGCTTCTTAAGAGTCGAAAACGACTAAAGGCACATGGTCAACGGAGTCCCGGGAGCCACCGGCTCGGCTTAGCCAAACGATAGAGCGATCCAGATCTTTCCCAGCCTGCCTGCAACCCGAAGCGCCACCCGGATCCGCGGCCTCCCGTCGGGGCGAACCTTCCACGCCCAACCGCGTACAACCCTACAACAACGTTGTAGCCAGCCGGGGCTGAACCGAACAGCTGCGGCCGGCTCGCCAGCCCAACCTGGCCCTTGGCCGCCACGGGACGCGGAGCCAACCTGCCGGGCGCGGGCAAGCGGAGAGGAAGCCGCTCACGGCTGGGAAGGGCGAACGGGCGAAGGGAGCTCGGCGGCGGCGGCGGTCCAGGAAGCCCTGTCGCCTTCCCCGCCCGGGGCCAGGCGGAGCCAGCCGCGGAGGAGGAAAGGAGGAGGAGCGGGTGAGAGGTCGGCCAGCTCCGGTCGCCCATAGAGACGGTGGAGTCCCGAGTGGCGAGGAGGGCGGAGGCGTGTGGGGGCGTCGAGGAGGGTCCCGCGGACGGTGAGCGGCGGGGCTGCTTTGGGGGAAGAGCGGGAGGGTCTCGGTGAGAGACAGCGCTTTCTTCCTCCTTCCCTGCCCCGGGTTTTTTTTGTCTCCGCCTCTCGCCATTGCGGCGACGGCTGGCGGGTGAGGACTGTCCCTCGGCTCTGCCCGCCGCTGCCCTTCGCCCCTGGCTGGCGGCGTGGTTTTAGGCGGCGGCGGCGGCACTGGGCACTACCGGGGGCGCCTGGCTCTTTCCCGCCACTGCGGGGCGCTGGGCGAGGCGTGGCTGCGGCGCGAGAACGGCGCTTGGGGCCGCTAGGCCACCCGTCCCTGGCGCTGGCTCCCCGGATCCCGGCTGTGCTTGCGAAGGCGGAGAAGCCCGTCCGGGGATCCTCTTTTTCTTCTCCCCCCACCTCAAAGCCGTCCGTGGTCAATTAGAGAACAGAGGCGCGGTTGTGTGCCCAAAGCGCCTGGGGGGATGACCAGACAGACACTGTTGCGAAGCCGAAGACCCGGGCCTGGGCATGGAAGCAGCTCCAGGTTCTGAGGCAATGAGCCCTGCCTGCCCTTAGCCTCCCTAACCGGTTTCCCGGAGCCTCAGCCTATCATTTTGTTAGAGTCAGTTAAAGGAACTTGAATTAATTTCTGTGTCTCCTTCCCAAGCTCTTTGACTTGACTGGCTCTCCCCACGAAGGAGTGGGCTTCCCCCCTCTCCCCAGGTTTCCCTGGACCGCTGGATCGGCCCTTATTTCAGAAACGCAGAGGATAGGTTTAGAGCAGTGTTTCTCAACCTTGGCAACTTGAAGATGTCCGGACTTCAACTCCCAGAATTCCCCAGCCAGCGAATGCTGGCTGGGGAATTCTGGGAGTTGAAGTCCGGACATCTTCAAGTTGCCAAGGTTGAGAAACACTGGTTTAGAGGAACTCGACGTTCCTCTGGCCCAGGGGTTGCATTGGCCCATGTTTTGCAAGTTTGGCTTGCCTGTGAGAATGTATGATACATTTGGCCCACTTTTCTCATAGACAATCGCACAGAATTTAAAAGTTCTGTTGGCCCCCCTCAGTTAAAAACAAAATAAAAAAGTGGTATTTATACCTTATGCAGAAAAGCACCGAAGGAGAGACAACGCTTCCTTTATCTGTTACTAATTACTGCCATGCAGGTGCTATCCAGAGTTTTTGGACATTGAACTCCCATCATCATAAGCATCAGATTGGGAATGGGGAAATCAGTATATGGCAGATTGGTTTTGCCTTGATGAGGGATCACTATTGTTTGGCTAAAAGACCCATCTTTGTCCTGTTTGGTACATTGGCTGCAATATTTTGTGGATGGAGGTTGCCTACTCTGGATGTCCAGCAGTGCACAGATGCTATTATCTCATTGGTAAAGTGTTATCATTCATAATAATCCTAATTCATGCTAATAATTCAGTTTCTGGATTTTTATAGACCTTCGTAGTTATATAAAAAGGCATGGTAGCTGGAGATGAATCTAACTATTAATGGCATACTTATTTTTTTCTATTGGTGGTGTTTCAGTAATGGTTGAGTATCACAAACATAATTTGTATTCCGGATTTTGGCAAAAATACACACGTCTTCTATTCCTGCTTTGAAATCTTTTTCAAAATGGCAGAATTTTGGAAAGAACAAATCATTTTGTACACAACCTAAGGAGAAAAAGCAGGAGAAAAGAGTTATCAAGGGGCCTTCCACTGTCTGCTTTGTCTTAAGCTGCTTTTATGTACTATTAAAAAAAATCTCTACAATTTGTGAAAGTGAGCCGAATGAGACTCCACCCAGTACTGAGGATGTTGTAAGAAAGGAAAAAAGGAAGTAATTGTTCCAATCTGAATGTTAGGTGACTCTGGAGCATATGCTGAAAACAGTAATAAACATTACACTTTCACCATTGCTAGTGAAATGTCTGCTGAATAATAATTGCATTTCCTCCCTAAAGTAACAGTATGATTGGCAGGAATCCACAGTCTTGGCTTTCTAGACTTCCATAAGAGACAGTTGTCATTGATCATTCCCATAGTGCTCTGCATGACCAGAAACATTGAGAAAGGAAGTGGGCCTCTCATATCTCCCTTAGTGTTCATCTTTCACTGATGGTGAGTTTCTATCTGTTCCAAAGTTCAGCACGATTGAAATTTCAAGTTAAAAACACACTTCTCCACCTTTCTGGAGGGTATTTTAATATCCCCAAGTCTACTGCAAATTCAGTACAGTGTGAAGGTCTCCTCACATTTCCAAGTTCGGAATTGAAGAAGGATTTCTCTTTTGTTCTGACACTTGGCAAATACATTTGTGGAGGCCTGATGTTGGGAATCTAGTCACAAGAAAATGGGACAGCAGAACATTAGGGAGTTGTTGAACGTGTTCTGTCATGCTTAAAGTTGATTTTGTTTGTTATGGAAATGAAACACAAGACTGACAGCATAGTGAAATGCAACAAAGTTGGATTAAACAGCTTCTTCTATTTAATAGTTATTTAAGACAAACTCTATTTAAATTTCTTTTAAGTTAGAATCCCTCCTTATGCTTGCTTTATATGATTATAACTGTCAGCACATTATAACTGTTCTAGGTGACATGAGATTATTTGCTCTAAGAAAGATTTAGCTTCAACTTCTGTATTTTTTTTGTTAACTTTTTTAGTAGCTGTGCAAATAGAAAAAAATAATGTCATGATGAATTGAAGTTAGGGTTGTTTTCTTTTGCAGACTGCATTTATTTAGATTTTATGTAACTATTCTCACAGCATGTATACTTAAAGTGTTTTACAGTGTAAACTGATTCCTTAGAGATTTAGAGTATGTCATATTTTTAGGATCTGAGCTACATTTTTTTATTTTCCATTTTAAAGATTATTGTAAATGTTAACAATTGTTTTCCACATTTGCACATGCCCATCATGCTTTTTTGAAATTGATTTATTGCATTCTTGGTTAATTCCTGGATGGGAGACCTTTAGGCAAGGTCAGCTTTAAACTTGACCTTAGTAGACATTGGCCTAGGATACCTTCCAGATCATTATCAAATTGCAAATATTTGGATCAGTACAGAGTCATATCATCAGTCAGTGGCTGAGAAACTCAGTAGTCTTTGCACTGTCTTCAGGGAATCCCAGAGTTATAGGATAAAGTAGAAATTTTAAAAAAATCATCCCATGGTAAATAATTTCCATACTGTTGCAAAGAATACTAAATGGCTGGAGCCATGAAATTATCAATAGTCAAGTTCAACTTCTTTGACACAAACATAGACACATACGTGAATAAAATGATATCAATTGCAATTTGAATACCAGAAGTTGTTTTTCTTTTAATTGTAGTCCCTGGTGATGAGTTAAGATTGAAAGAATTGTGAGGGGTGCTCAATAGTTCAGTTTTATCTCATAATTTGAAAGTTGGTTATGGTTTTTATTGTACAGTAGACATATATATCCAGTGGTGGGTTTCAATTTTTTTTTACTACTGATTCTGTGGGTGCGGTTTTGTGGTCGTGGTGTGGCTTTGTAGGTGTGGCTTTGTGGGCATGGCAGGGGAAGGATACTGCAAAAACCCCATTCCCTCCCCACCCCATTAACCTTCTTTCCAACTCCGTTCTCCTGTTCAGGGCAACAAAAGAAGATCAGTTGGGAGGCAGCAGAGGCATGGCCAGCCTATTTGCTGGTTCTCGGAACTACTCAAAGTTTCCACTACCATACCACCTCTGGACACATCTTATATTTCAGCTTTAGGAGTTGCAGAATTTGATTATTTTGTATTATTGTGGAGATTGACTATATTTCACAATTTGGCTTTGGTTGGCTTCAGCATTTATAGCAGTAAAGAAATATTGTCTCATTTCATCTGCAGACAAAATTTGTAATACAGTAGTCTGCTGTTGAGCTCTACCGGCACACGCTAACTGGATTCTTGCCTTGCACGTCCCACAGTTTGTTCCATCATGATTTACTGAATTATATTACATTATAAACTAAATTACATAACAAAGTATAAAGCAGATTTCTAAACCACAATGATTGCATTCATATAACATGCTCACTACTAAAGTCAAACAAACAGTGTATGGCTATTATATGAACCAGGCCAGTGTCTCAAAGGAACTGTATCAGTTTGCTATATTGTATAAAGATTAATTACCACATGCAAGGAGTGTTTTTCAAAATTGGAAGGTTCCTACATAGCTGAATAAGAAATTAATGAATTATGCTATGGAACCAAGGCAAAATATAATTCTTCAAAAACAAGTTATTGCTAAAGTATTTAGTATTTCCAAACTTCCATGTAATTCACAGCCTCTGCCCTATAGAAACTGTGCTTATCAATAAGTGCCCCAGGCTCAAAGTGTGCAATGGATGGGCCAAGCAAAGGTTTTGGTTTTTTTCCCACTTCAAGTACATAAGATTAATAACTTCAGATTACAAGATCCCACAATGGTCATTTGAGGAACAGAAAATAATTTGGGATCTGCATTCTGCTTTCTTTCTTTCTCTTTATAAAGAGAAACAAAATTATGCTTGACTCTTCCTGTTGCTTCCTTCAAAAAAGCCAGAATAACATCTGCTTTTTCTTTTTCTCCTTAGGAGAAAAACTCACATGCGCTAGGTGAATTCTCAGAAAATGCCCCTAATTCAGATATGGGCATTTTATCACCCACCCATCCATATGGAAGTAAGCAAGGTTGAATAAGAAAAGAACCCTGACAGACAACAGATAATAGCAAATGAAGTACAATTCATTTCAACAAAAATTATACACCATAACTGAAATTATACTGAAATGTTAATCCATTATTGTACATAAAGCTGTACTGATATGAATGCAGATTAATTTGTTAGACAGCAGTAGAAAGATACAACATTCATGTAGCAAAAAACATTCGGATGCTTTGCGAACTAAAAGTTATAGCCACAAGTTTGATGTGATAAGCTGCAAAACCAGTCACTCATTCAATCAAATAGAAATACAGTATCAGAAAATGTCTTTTTAAAATCTTGCAAG